TCTCCTCGATGGCCGCCAACGAACAAGCCATTCCCGTCAGCAATTTCACAAACGAATTTTGTATTTTCCAATAATCCCATCGCAGATTTTTTTCCAATACCACGCCATCGTCATTTCCACCAACCTCCTTCAACACCGCCTCCACGCCAACAAGAGGATCCCCAAGATCACTATATACAGAGTTCACATGACCCAATTTATTAATAACCAAATTTCGCGTCCGCCGGGACAGAACTCGTAGCCTCTCCAACGCGCCTCGAGATCGAACCACAAATTCAGTCGACATTCCAGCATCAGGAGGAGGAGGAGGGGAGGTTCCAGACCCAGGCAAGCGAACTGAAACGAGGGAAAAACTCCGAAAAATTACACAAAATTTACGAAAATTTCCTCTCATGTGAACACATAAATGTACTAGAGAAGTTTCTTTGGAGAAAACCATTTTCTTGAGAAACTCAAAATCACAACAAGCAATCTTTCCTCACTCGAACTGGAACGTTTTACCCCGGGTAAAAACAGCCAACTCTCCTTACCATTGATGGCTCCATCGGACCTTCCCCTCAATGAAGTATCCTCTACCTCCGGCCGACCAACATAACCCAAATCCGTCTGGGATCGAGCTGATCGGATTTTACCGCGCGCCACGAAATTACTCGTCGGGGCTGAGACGAACGATTAATTCAAGTAAAAACGACACGTGCAGGGATCGAACCCGGGACCTCATCCGAACCCATTATTACAGTCTCTCAACGGCTTATCACCAGCCAAGACCGCCTCCTCGCATCCCACCATCATCCGGCCAGCCTCGTCGTGCATATGTTTACCAGTAATAGATACACCATCACTCACAATCGCTTGATACCTATAAATGGGCCAAAAATTCCGAAATAATCGTTCCTAGTGTTGGGGAAAATACATTCGTTTTCCACATCTGAGCTCAGGGGTTCAATATGAATTCGGGTAGAAGTGTACAGAAACTACAGAAACTAACAAAAATTTCCCAAAATTTCCACAAAATTTTCATATCATCACCAACCCACATAGTTAGACGTAATCTATCCTCAAATTCCAATATCATCTCTCTGAATCAGAATCAACATATATTGTAGCTGGCGAGCGCATGTGCACGCCAGCCAACTTCGATGAGAACTCAAGTAGAATAGGTGTGGGAGAACGGTTTCCGCTACGATTAACAGTGATGCCCGAACACGATAACCACGATAACAACAACTGTATCAACGACTATCAGGGAGTATAGCTAATCTGTTATAATCGATTTCCTGCAAAATGCATAACCCTAATGAGGAAACACCAGGAGGCGCCCGCGTAGAGCCAGCTATGTCACGTCACGTGACGCGGTTACCGGAGGGACTGGGAGCTACAATATATTTCAAAAATTTCCTCCGCCAGGATTTGAACCTCGAACCAGCGGCTCCAACACCGCCTAGGACCTCCACAGTATTATAAAAAATACTTTAAAAATGCCCCCACGGTGGGGGCCCCACCAGGATTCGAACCCGAGACCTGCCACCCCTATTACAACCAATGCGCTTTCACTGCCAAGCCCATCCACTCCGAACACTCCCTCAGAAGGAATCTCTCGAGCTGCGCAGAATTCTAACATAGAAAAATATCCAAGGTCCATCTTGGTAAGATTCAAAACAGGTCCATATTACGTCCTTCTCCAACGAGGCGTATACCAGCTGAGGCAAATAAAAATCAACACATTCAATCTTCATTTTGTACCTGAGGCCAACCACAGCGTTTTAGGAATATATTCATTCCATTTCCCCAACAGAACTCAGCAGTTTCCTGCTAAGAAAATTTCCCCCAAAAATTCCTTACAATTTTCATATTGTTACTGTTGTAAGAGTCAGTAATGAGGGCTCCTCATTTTCCCTCACTTTCTATTCGTAGATAAGCAGTTGTGCCGCACCATGAGCATGCGTGCAAAGTGAACTAGACTACTGGTCTTATCATTGCTCCAGTCCAGACTCATTCATAGAGTTAGGTCCATCGGCTGCAATTCCCCCAATTCACCAACACATTTTTATCGCGCGCATTTATTGCTCAAAATTCAGTTTTTCCCAAAAAATTAAATTATAAAATTTGGAAAATTTTTTGTTAATCTCACAGTTCACCCGATTCCGGCAACATATACTTCGCAATCACCGACCTCTTAGCGGAGCGAAGCGCTGATTATTTCACCATTTTTCCCTCATTATATTACAGCTCATCCATCAAACAAGTCCGATCGATCCCATCAAGGTAGTGCATGTGGGAATGCGTGTTCGCAATCTGACCAAAAATTAAACAATAGAAATTACCGCGCACCACAAAATTCAATCTTCATTGTTATGAACAATTACCGCGCACCACAAAATTCAATCCTCATCGTTATGAACAATTACCGCGC